CCAACAAGAGAAATTCAGGTAAAAAGACACACTGAAGGCAAAAATGCAGTATTTTTGTTTTAACTGTGTATTGTTAGTGCTTGTTTGTTTGGGTACTGGAGACTGATAGAACTCAGGGGTGCTCTAGTACTAAGTAAACCCATAGCCCTGCAAAATTGTTGAGGCTGATCTTGAATTTGAGATTTTCCTATCTCCCGAGTCACTAGGATTACAGGCATGTACCACTTTGCTGGACTGTTGGTTTAATTTTAATAGTCACATTAGTTTTAAGTAGATCTTTTTTAAAAATGGACAAACTATGTCTATGAATAAGCAAACTTATGTATTCAGCCAGGCACAGTGGCACACACCTGTTAATCCCAGTGGCTCAGGAAGCTGAGGCAGGATTGCAAGTTCAAAGCCAGCCTTAGCAATTTAGTGAGACCTTGTCTCAAAAAAAAAAAAAAAAAAAAAAAAAAAAAGGAAAAACAGACTGGGGATGTGGCTCAGTGGTTAAGCACCTTGGGTTCAATCTCTGGTACCAAAAAGAAAAACAATAATAAAAAACTATCTGCAAGAGAGCTACTTATTACAGGAACATAAGAAGCATCAAGAAACCACAAACAAAAGGGTAAACAAAAAGATCTTCGATCCAGAGGGGAAAACAGCACCAGATGCTGGCAGGCCAGTACCTTTCAATGAGGTGGCTTCCGAGATAAATGTGCTAGAAATTATTTTCAGGTTATAACTGCCTCTCATGGCTGGACGTGAACAAGGGAACATGGGCTAAGCATGCAATGATACCTTTTAAAAAATATATATTTTTAGTTGTAGATCAACACCTTTATTTTATTTATTTTTATGTGATGCTGAGGATCAAATCCAGTGCCTCAAATGCACAAGGTAAGCGCTTTACCACTGAGCTACAACCCCAGCCTGCAATGGCACTTTGAATTAAAAAAAAAAAAAATCTTATTAATCTTTTAGAAAAATAAGTGTACAGATAGTTAATAAAAAAATCAAACTCAGATAAAGTCTTGGAAACAAAGCTTTCCCCAAATAGTATCAGTATTAAATATTCCCCTTTCTGAAAGCACTGAAAATGCTATGTATAGAGATGTCAAGCGGGTTTCTACCAAATGAAATATAGAAATGTCCACGGATTTCTAAAAAATGAAACACTGATCAAACCGCAAGTTCCTTGCATTCTAGGGCCAACGTGGTCCCAACATGGGAAGTGGGAATGCACACTAAACTATTCAGCAGCTGCTCAGTGTGTTTTTCACCAATCATTTAAATAAATGAAGAGATCTGAGGGCCTATGAAGAAGAAAGCATTTCAGAGAACAAGTGGCCTTAGGARAATGAGAGAAAGACCAAAGAGCAGAACACTAAATGAATCTGTCTGGAGAGGAGAGAGGAATTCCTGGAGCCAACCCACATGACTCTAGCCAAGGTATAGATCCTAACAGTTCTTTGTCCATGGGCAAATCCTCTCCTTCCTGGTGGCACAGGTTTGGACTGATTGATCTTTAAGATATAACTCAGCTTTTGTAAAAAGAGCACACATCAAAATGTTTAATGCCTGCCCTGAGCAATGACAGGATGAGGGTGGTACAGAGAAGTCTAAGAGGACATGAACAGGTGAGAGGAGATACTGGCTCAAAGTCATTTTGGGCAGCATCTCAGAGGACAGGATTATGAAGATACAGGAGAAAAGCAGCAGAATTTAACAATGAACTAGACATAAAGAATAAAATAAAACATCTAAGATTATTGAAAGTTTCTTTATACAGAGAACATTCCAGAATTGCAAGTGAAGAATTTGTATTATAAAGTACACAGTACTTTAACTGTACAGTTCAATACATTCTCTTCATGCCTTGTCCTCACTTACTGAAGGAGGACTTGAGCTTTACCTGTACATCACAAACCACACAGGGAGGGCTCTGGGTGCAGTGTTCACCACAGCTGTCAAGAAACATGTATTATCAATGGGGCTGGGGATGTGGCTCAAGCGGTGGCGTGCTCGCCTGGCATGCGTG